TTTGGACAACGCTCTGAGGGACAGGGTGGGATTGTTGGGGTGTCTGGGCAGGGCCAGGGGTTGGACTGGATGGTCCTTGTGGGTCCCTTCCAGCTCAGGATATTCTGGGATTCTATGAAAAGTCTCTCCATCCTGCTCAAATGACAATTTCTCTGGAAAATGGTCAGTATTTGTTTCTTGATGTGTGTTGTGAAGCCCAGAGGGTGTTTGGTTTTGCCCTTGGGTTTTACCCCATCCTCCTCTGTGCAGATCCTACAAAAAAGCAGTAGGAATGGAGTGAAAAGCAGTAAGAATGGAATGAAAAGCAGTAGGAATGGAGTTGTGCTGCTCCAGGGGCGCTGCTGGTGCTCTGGGGAGGGCGGTGCTCCCGGCCCTGCGAGCTTGGTTGTGTCAGAGGACGTGTTTTCCTCCATCCCCACTCCAAGGAGCTCATCGCGTGCAAGGGCTTCTCTGGGACTGATTTGCTGCTGGAGAAAACAGCTGCATCCCCGGCACCTGGTGCCCACATTGCTGGATCCGTGGGGGCCGGTTCCGTGGCACGGGGCGGGCGCAGCCCCCGGAGCTTCCGCCGCGGCCCCGCCGCAGGATGTGGCCAGGCTGTGACACAGCTCTGCCACCAGCGCTGCTGCTCGGCTTCCTCCCTGCGCCGTGCTGGATCACACGCCCCGGGGACACGGCTGCCTGCCCGGGGGCTGGGTTTGCCTCCCCCACAGCGGCTCCCCGGGTCGCAGGGGCTGTCCTGGCAGCAGGAAGGCTGGGCTGGATGGGGCTTGGAGCAGCCTGGGCTGGTGGGAGGTGTCCCTGCCCATGGCATGGTCTTTAAGGTCCCTTCCAACCCAAACCATTCCACGATGAGATGTGTGCCGTGGATTCACCTCCCAGCCCAGGGAGGATGTCACTGAGCCACACTTTGGTTTCTCCCAGCACACGTTGTGGCCCGTGTTGCGACAGGAGTTTGGATCTCCCTGTTCCTGCACGGAAGAGGTCACCGAGCCCATTCCCGCAGGAAATGTCGAGCCTGTTCTTAGTGGGATGAACTGGAGTGGTTTGGGGTTTCTTCCTCGCTGTAATTAAATAAGAAAACAAGAGGCCTTGGCTTAAAGCTTTTTAATCTTTCTCCAGAGAAGAACTGCTGATTAGCACTGCGGCATCTGGTAGGGACAGGCTCGATTGCAGCGATGGCAGTCGTGACCTTGAGTTTGGGATCTTTTTCCCAACATTTGAGGACACTGTTTACCTATTGGAACAACACCGTGGCTTCATATAAATCTAATCTAAATTCTGCTTGGGGAAAGGGGTTTGTTTGCTTGCTTGCCTATAAAATTATGACAACTTATTTGTGCTATTTAAGGCATCAGCTTAATTTCTGTTACTTTATTCATTTCTGTCCAGCACATATAAAACGATATTTTTGGTACACAAAGCTTTCTGCCTTAAGCCTCCATCAAAGAACAGCCTGACACAAATTCTGCAAGGGGCTGGATGTGGGAACAAAGGAGGTATAATTAGCTACAGATAAACAGAGCTGTGTTTCTCGTCAGCATCTCTTCAGATCTTAACTTGGGTCTCACCCTTGGAGCTGATTCTTCTCCACAGACTGGAAGAGGAAGATGAGCTTTCCCTCATCTTCCAGCTTTCAACTTGAAGTGAGCTAAACTGAAGTGAACATGTGTTTCTGGTCTGTGTGCACCTGCGGCAGAGGCTGTGGCTGCTCTCAGGGCTGGTGTTATTTCAGGAGATTCGCTTTCCGGGTGCCTGAGCTGTGACTTCTTCTTCTCGTTCCCCTCCACCCTGTGGTTCCTGTCTCTCGCACTTTCCCTGCCTGCCCTGCTGGCTGCTCTGGTGGAGAGTGTCTGGCAGCAGCTCTGAGCTGTGCTGTGGGTTGGCATGACCTGACCTTTTGGGTAGGTTTGTTCCCCAGGGGGGAAGCACAGGTGAAAAGTTGGATCCAGGTGAAACCCACGTGGGTTTTGGTGCATTGGAGCTGAGCAGGAGCTGAGCAAAGTTTGTCTTTGTGGGGTTGGGGCTCTTGGTGCAGTGATGTCAGGATGAGTGGCTGTGGGGCCTGTTCTCTCATTCCCACAGGGAATGTGTCAGGAGTTCTCTCAGGAGTGGCTCTGTTCAGCCCAGGTCACCCCGACAGCCGCTCTGCTCCAGCTGGGCTGGGCTGGAAAGGGAAGGGAAGGGGGAGGAAGGAAAGCTGGCGTGAGCTCTCCTCCTCCTCAGATGTGGGGCGAGGGCCCAGATGGCATCCCAGATCTCTTCCTATGGGATTTAGACAAGGTTTCCTGTCGAGAGAGCTGCTCCTAATCGCTGCCCTTCTGTGCTGTGTTGCAGATCAGGACCAGATGAGCAGAGGGAGGTTTCTCTGAAGATCAGAGTCGCCCCAGCCGTGCCCCGGGAAGCGGCGCGGCCTCCGGCTGTCCCCGCTGCGGGCCTGCAACAGCGAGAGGAGGAGGGAAGATGTCCCACGCTCTAAAGCAAGTGTTCAACAAAGACAAAACTTTCCGGCCCAAGCGCAAGTTCGAGCCGGGCACGCAGCGGTTCGAGCTGCACAAGAAGGCCCAGGCCTCGCTCAACGCCGGGCTGGACCTGAAGGTGGCCGTGCAGCTGCCCCCGGGCGAGGAGCAGAACGACTGGGTGGCCGTGCACGTCGTGGACTTCTTCAACCGCATCAACCTGATCTACGGCACCATCAGTGACTATTGCACCGAGCAGTCCTGCCCCGTCATGTCGGGGGGGCCCAAGTACGAGTACCGGTGGCAGGACGAGCACAAGTACCGCAAACCCACCGCCCTGTCGGCCCCCCAGTACATGAACCTGCTCATGGACTGGATCGAGGTGCAGATCAACAACGAGGACATCTTCCCCACTAACGTTGGTGAGTTGGGGTCCAGGCGTGGCTGGCGGGGAGGGAGGTGGGTGCAGAGCCTTCTCCTGGGGCCCTCGGGTCCTGTTTCTGTTCAGGAGGTGCTGCAGAGCTGTTTCCTTCTGTGCTGCTCAGAGCAGCTCTTCCCAGCTCCTCTGCAGTGCTCAAGTACCCAGAGCTGCACCAGATCCCACTTGGAGTCATGGATACCTCGAGGAAAGCCAAGGCAGACAGTGCAGACAGGAGGCTGCCCTTAGAGCACAGGCTTGGAGGCAGCTCTGGGGTGGCTCGTGCTCCTGTGGATCAGCTCTCCTGGAGCTCACTGCCAGCCTGGATCCAGGCTCTGCCTCACCTGGTGATGCTGCCACGTACCATAGTCAGCCTCTGTTGTTAGAGGCTGCTTTGGCTGCCTCTGCCCCTCCAGAGGGGTGGGATGCTGGCACAGGTCTGGAGGGAGGGGCCATGTTTCATCTCCTGCCAGGGCCATGGAAAGGAGAATTTGGCCTAAGACACCTCAGTCTGCATATCCAGGCACAGCTTCTCTGGATTCGGGACAGAGATTGCTGGGTTTTGTTTATTTTGTGTTGAAGATGGGAGAATTCATTCCCTGAAGCGTCAGGTAAATATGACTGAGCCCATGCAGAGCTTCCATCTCTGGGGGTACAGGAGACAGGGTGCAGCAGAGCTCCCTCCCTCCTGCCCTGGTGTTTATCCCACTGGAGCTGTGACAGGATGCAGTTGGCCACTGCTTGGGGCACGTCTGCCACTCGAGCTCCTCCTCTGTGCCAAAATGCTGCTTCAGCTGGTGTGGGGTGGGCAGAGGGGGGAGGGGGGCGGTGAACAGCCAGTTTTGAGACACCAACCCCCTGCCCAGCAGTTCTGTCGCTGCCTGTGCAGGACCCTGGGGAGCACAGCGGGGGTGTTGGTTCTGTTCTGGAGGCAGGACGAGCTTCCCGCAGCACCAGGGTTGTGGTTGGGTTGGTTTTTTTTTCAGTTGTTACTGTTTTCAGCTCAGCTTTTAACCAGATCCAACGTTGCGGCTCTGTCAGAGCACTGAAAGGGTTTAACTCATCCTCGTTCCTCCAGGAACAGCCCGTGTGGACTTTACACCCTGATATCCCACGGAGGTGCTGGATGGCCAAACCCCCCTGCTGTCAGGGCCTGACCAAACACAGACCTGGTGCCTTTAAAGAGCACCTTAAAGGCTTTCATTTTTAACCAGAGACATATCAAAATAAGGGATAACTGTGTGGAGGTAACAACACCAACCCTTTCCTTCAGGAATTTGCTTGGTCATATCTAGTGTTTTGCACTGTTTGTATAAATATGTCAAACAGGAGTAGAGGAAAACTCAGACTGGAACAACTGCTGGGAATCTGGGCTCTGCTTTCAATCTCAGCAGTGCAGCTCTCTGTCACTTAAAAAATCCATGCTTGTGAAAAATCTGATCCAAAGGGAAGCAAAAAGGAGAGGGCAATGGACATTG